CCATCCTATCGATACGTGTACGGTACTCGTGAATCTCTCCGGCAACCCTATGACGCTCGGCCGCGGCACTCTCATCACGGGCCCTCCTCAGCCTATCGGTCTCGGAAAGATACTGCTTCTTCTTATCCTTGAGCTGCCTCGAAAGATCAGCGCACCTGCTCTTCTCCGAATTGTAGTTCCTCAAGTGGCTCTGTGCAGAACGATCCGAAGCCTCAGCAGCAGCCTTCGCCAAGTCAGAATCTCTCGCCGCGGCACGATACTGTTCCTCGTAGAAACCAACCAAACGGTTGGTCTGACTCATCGCCTGCAGAAACGAAGTCTCATAAACTACACCTGATGAAAGCAAGTAAGTTAGAAACAAAGCAAGACGCAAACCTGAAAAGAGCGAGAAGCCCAATCCTCGTAAAGCTCCCTTCCGCGGAGAGAGTCAACAGCGGGAAACTCTGCAAAGTCCCCACGAACCTTGCTGGCAAGATCAGCACACGCACCTCCATGAGTGAAAAACATTCGATCCCTCCGGCCATAGTTGAAGGAGAATGAATGGTCAACTACTTCGGCGATCTCACGAATGGGCTCCTCGCGCCTAGCATCCCGGCGAACACTCGAACCTCCGACAGGACTTCCGCGCGAGCTCCTCTTCCGAGACGTATCTCCTCGACCAGACGATGGCGGAGCACAACCACTTGCGGATCTCGAAACCTTCTTCCCGTCGCGTGCAGCTTTCACTTCCTCGGATCTAGCCCGGCGCACGGCGTCACGATCATCAGCAGGCGCGGCGGCATCCGTGGTCTCCACCGCCACGTCCACATCACCAACAGGAGCATCATTCCCAAAACCGCACTGAAATGAAGCGTTGGGTAACATCATAGGGCCAAGCTCGATCAGCGGCTCGTCGACCTGCGTGCCATCTCCATCGAATTGATCGGCATAATCGGAAATCTCGCAATCACCCATCCTAAGACAAGACCGAGAACCTGCAACATGTTACGTTGTAAGAAACAAAACGAGAGTCGAAATACAAGGAAACAAAACAAAAATTAGAAACTCACAAGAGTTGAAATGGTTGAGTATGTCCGGCCACCACAAAGTTCCTCTCGCCTTTACCGCTGCAACTCTCGCTCGAAAGTCTTCGGTATCCTCTGCCGTCGGCCCAAACTTTCCTGCAAAATCAACATAAGAACATCAGTTAGGGAAACGAAAGAAGATTCGATCACACGATTCCGGACCAACTAAGAACTACCGCGGTCTAGGTTCCATGTTCTAGCATACGACAAGCTGAGGTCCTCGACAGAGAGCTCGGTAACTTTCACAAAAAAGTAGTACTTGCGCCACGCACGAACTTTGGTCTTGGCACCATCAACAATTTTAAAACTAGCTCTCGAACTAGCACAACACATGCCCGGATTCTCCCTTCCAAATAGGTATTTGGTAAGCTCTTCGAAAAGATCCAAGTCCATGACGACACCGGTAGCGGCAGCAAGAATTGCAAGACCCACCGCGTTCCGAATAGAAGCCACGGTGAGTTGAGAAAACGCTATCTCCCGACGAGCACAGTAACTCGCGAGAAACTGCGGAAGTGGAAACCAAAGACCGCAATCCGAAAAGAAATCTTCGTAAAGGCAAATATACCCTTCCGGAGCATCCCATGGGCGACGACGCAATTTTGGGATCAGAATCTCAATCCCCGGCTCTATTCCGCACGCCTCAAACATGTCAAACACGGATTTTTCTGTGCTAAGAGTTTTTCCCTTATCTCGACGATCGAGAACATTAGCCATCCCATCACCCAACGTAGGCTCAACTCTCCCATCTTCGGGGACCGCACTAGAAGCCCTCAAACCCGAAACTATAGACCGATGAGGATTTCTCGCACTCGAACCGACAACATCTTCGAGCACCTTTCCACAGCGAGTACTTGGCTCCCTGGGAACTAGCGTACCCCCATTGCTGCACGACGGAAGCAATCCATCAAGATTGCGCACGTCCTCTTCCGTCAAGTCTCCGAGAGTCTCTTCGGAACCACTGAAGCCACGCCAGGCAGCGTGAGTCCCACCGTAATCATCCACAAACCCACGTTCAAGTTGGCGATAGTCGTCTCTTTGTAGCTCGTCCGGAACGCCGTCAAACGGATCGTCTCCACCGACATGATTTCCCGCGAACTGAGACATCAATACCTTGCAAAAGTAATCAAGGGCCGTATCAAAATCTAGAAGTCGAGAAGTGTCTCAAAACTGTCGTATCCCGCCAAATTTATGATTTCGAATTCCCGTCGCAAGCCGACTTTCCACAAAACCAACAAACAATCAAACGTTACGAGAGGCGGGACGAGACTGACATAGCAACTCAAACTCAACGCGATACAACGACGCAAATGTTCCCACGGTAAGGTTCGGGCACAGCGAGAGATAAGACGAGACGAGTCCGGAAACACGACCCCGTCGCGGTCGCTTTGACGCCATCTCGCCACGCCAAGCATTGCCGCGACCAAGACTTCACCACGGCCCCAAAGCTAAGCCACGGCCTGATCATGCATTCCGCTTCGTCGCGACCTCGTGTTGGCACCTTTCGGTCAAAGCTCCGCCACGGCCGGAGCACTCGTAACAACACGATGCGGTCTGGTTTGATAGTGTGGCATAATTTTCGGCGCGACACGACCTCAAGCTCGACACGGCCACGACAAGAGAGCTCCAGCTTGGCAAAACCTCCAGCCGCGGCATGACTTGGCTTCGCCAAAACCTGGAGCACCACCTCGGCAGTAAAGATTCACCACGCCACCAACCTTTTCCCAGCTCCGCCGCGGCCAGAAGTCACCACGACGCTTCGCCACGGCAGCAATGTCGGCTCTCCGGCTCCGCCCCGTCATGTTGAAGTCTCGCCACGGCACAAGGGCTCTCGGCGTCGCATCTCGTCACCATTTCACCTCGGCAACACCTTGACGAAACCACGCCGCGACCGCTTAGCTCGGCACCATTCATCCTTCCCCCGCGGCACCATAAATTCTTGCCTCGTCAAGACCTCGTCACGGCCTCGTCACAGCTGAGCATTGACAGCCGAGAACCTCATTTCGCCCCGACGCCACCTCGTATTGGCCGTAGCTCGCCCTAACGCCACCTCATCTCAGTCGAAGCTCTGCCACGGCGCCTTCATGATTAGCCACAATGTTGCCTCGCCACGGCCTGTTATCAACGCCCCCAAAACCGCACTCCGTCGGCACTAACACGTCCCGTGAGCACTTTGTCCCAGCCAAAAACCACCACGGCTTCCGACCTCAAAGCTCGTAGCTCACGGCGGGGCCGCTCCCTTCACGCGCCTCGCCGGCGGCGATCTCCTCGCGAAATGAAGAAGAAGCTTGCCAACTCCGGGACGGCGTCAAAACCTCGAACTTCACCATGCCTTCGGCTCAAAACAGAAGGTCCTCCGCAGATCCGGCGAGAATCTCCCGGCGAGGATTTTCCGGCGAGATCCGAACGGCGAGACAAGAGCTCTCCGGCGAGGTCCAAGTGGCGTGGCAAGAACGCTCCGGCGGATTCGAACGGCGTAACACGAGCAAGAAGAAGAAGCTTGAAGTGTTGTATGTTTACTAGCCACAAAGTCACGATAAAACCAAAACGAGCAAAGGAGAGAGAGAGAGAGAAGAAGAAAAAGAGGAAAAGAGAAGAACTTTACCTTTTTACCAAGAGGAAGAAGCCAAAGAGTAAAAAAAAAATAGCAAGGGGACATATATATAGTGGGGGACCCAGCGCGTTTACCGAGGTAAAAACACATGACCTAAATTTCACCATACACCTAGCTCCCGTGCCTCGTGAAGCGTGCCAAGTCCCGACTCATCCCGAGAATGATTCGCTCCTCTCGGAAAACGTGCCATGTCACTATTCATCCCGAAAATGATCCGCTCTTCTCGGAGAACGTGCCAAGTCACTATTCATCCCGAGAATGATCCGCTCTTCTCAAGAATCGCGCCAAGACATCGCAAGAAGATTTGAAGCTCTAAGTATGCAGCAAGGCAATTCAGAATCTCCGCAAACTTGCCCATCTTGTTTTACGACCAACTAGCCTACGCCCGGAACCAGCCCGTCAAGCTCAAAAGGATTCTCGCAAATCGGACTAAAGGGGGGGGACTATTGTTGGATATGGGCCTTGCCCCTCCCAAGTTAGAAGGCCTATAAAACAAGATGTGTCAATTAATGAAGCCTTTTACCAAAAACAGGCCCAGCATCTTCGCAGGGGCAAAATCGTCATTCGCCAAGGAGACACAAAGAGCTTCTAGGTTTCCGTGCCACTATAAATACATTAAACCACTGTTTGGAACAGGGATCGGTCCAGAGGTTATTATCGACTAGACTGAGAATCGCGCCGCGCCCGAACTCGCCCTAGCCCGAGATTCCCGCCGCGACTCTCTTTCTCGTGATTTTGCACTTCTGTTTCGTATTAGTTTCTCAGCTCGGCAGATAGTCTATAACTGCCGCAGCGAGACTTCTCTCTTTGTAACTTCGGATTTTCCGCAAAAGCTAATAAAGAAAATTGTTTCGTATCGTCCCAAGAATCTCGTATCATTATCGTAGCTGCTCCCCCCTTGCACAAACATATATACAAATATTCGGTTGCACCTTTACCCATCTAGTAGCAAATCATCGTGTTCCCCAATAGACAAGGTAAATAACCAATGCCGAATGGTTTACAAAATATTAGATGATTTTAAGGGAAAAAAAAATATATCTAATTACAATAACAATTATATATAGACCAATGTGTGTAAGGACTAAGGAGTTATTGCAATTAGATATGTTTTTATTTAAAAGATAAGATCCTAACTAAGTTATGTTTTTTTATTTAATGTTATTTTTCCTATTTTAAAAGATATTTTCTTTCCCTTTCCTTCTTTGCTTTGAATAAAAAATAGAAAAAAATAAAATAAAAAAATCATTAAAAAAATGAAACAATTGGCCGACTCTCTCGTTAATAAATAGAGAGGCTTATCACCAAACCTTCTTCAGTTTCATCAAACAATTCTCAATTCTCGACCTCTCCTACAAAGTCTCCTAAAAATCTTCTTTCTTTCTCCTTTCACCACACACAAAAAAAAAACCAATATGTCTTCGAACAAGATTGAGTTGACTAGCTCCGATGGTGAAACTTTCGTGATTGACGAAGCGGTGGCTCGTAAATTCCAGATCGTTGCGCACATGATCGACGATGACTGCGCACATAGAGCAATCCCGCTTGCAAACGTCACTGGTCCGGTCCTAGCGATGGCCATCGAGTTCTGCAAGAAACATGTCGACGATGGTAAAGATTCAACCGAAGCAACCAAGGACAAAGAAGAAGAACAAGAAGCCAAGGAGAAGGAGCTCAAGGCTTGGGACGATGAGTTCATTAAAGATAAGGATATCGACACAATCTTTAAACTCATTCTCGCTGCAAACTATCTCAACGTCAAAGACCTTCTCGAGCTCACTTGCCAGACCACTGCTGATTACATCAAGGACAAGTCACCAGAGGAGATCCGAGAGATCTTTGGCATCGAGAACGATTTCACAGCCGAAGAAGAAGCAAAGGTTCGCAAGGACAACGCGTGGGCTTTTGAAGCTGATCCAAAACCCTAATTTCGATGTGTTCTATAAATCTCTGTTGATGTGTCTTTTGTTTCTCTCTCTTTAATCTTTTTCTTAAGTGTGTGGGATTGAGTTTGTTTCTTTAAGTTTCGACTGGTTTTAATGAACTTCAATGGTGTTGTGTTATGCTCGATCTTCTCTTGGTGTTTTTGCGTAATTTGCTTCCGTTCTTGGTGTCGCCGCCGTTTGATAAAGACTTGGGAATTGAAATGTTAACAAGATACATGTGCCCTATCTAGGGTTTCTCTATTCCCCTTTTTATTAAATAAAAAATATTAAAAAATATATAAAATATATAAAACTTTTACGAAATATTGACTAGGGTAAATTGTAAGCAAATCATTAGCATACGCTCTTGGTCTTATAACATATGTATCATGTTTCTTGCTCATCTCTCGTTTGGCACAAAGTGACGATCCCAAATCATTCAACAACAGCTTGGCTCAAGCTCCTGTGTTGGGAAGGGATAGTGTGACTCATAAGATGGGTCTGTCACCTCACTCTTGGGACCAAATTCTCCTCGACGACTACATCCCCTAAGATTAATTAGCTTTGCCCTCCTTCAAGCTTGGCAATTGTGGAAAGAGGGAAGCCGTTGGTTTCATCAGGTTTTGTCTCTACTACATCTTACCATCTCTAGGAAACTCTTGTTGGTGATGAAAAACAAAGTAATTGCTCTCAAGAACATGGGATCCAGATACGGTGAGGACATGATTCATCTCTGGTCTTAGTTAAAGATGTGGAAAGAAGAACATCACAATGGGCCGATTAAGCAAGATAATTATATTATTATGGGCCATTTTAAGCCCAACGGTATACCACTAAACAGTGCATGAGCTAATTAACTCCCACATTCTCTACAATGTATTGTAACTTGTAAAAATTTGTAACCCATTCTTTCTTTTTCACTCATTACACACTCTAGACATTTCCTCTGGTTCTTATCCAAATTAGTAATTACGATGTACTGACCAAAGAACTAATTCCAATACACTTGTATATATAAATGAGGTAAATATACAATCGTTGAAGCAACAAATCTTACACACATTTTCCTAAAACAGGATTATACGATATAATAGAATTTGGTATTGGTATATATCAATTTATGGGTTTCAAAACTTTGATAAAAAAATAAATAAAAAATAGGTGAGATGGTTAGGGCTTAATTATGTTGGTTAGGCGACGTGTTCGATCGTATTTCCAAATCTATATACTTTTCAATTTTCATGACGCATGCTTTATTGCTTTTCCTCTCTTTCTCTCCCTCTCGAGTTGCTTGGAAGTTGAGCGAACCCTTTTACTTTGCTTCCAAGTTTAATAATTATAATGATAATTATTGTCCATAATTATCAATAATTCTCATAGAAACATCATATCGATGTGATTTCTAAGTTGTTCATTGATGGAAACAAGCCCTTTTCCAAAACAACTTATCACCTTTTTATACATATGTTAAGATTCTCAAATCTAAGGTAAACGATAAACAATTTACATATAGATTTTGATGAGCAGAAATATATAGATTACTTTTTGCTTTAGTATTAACTATATATAGAAGTTTTGTAGCTTAATACCCAAATTAACACATGATGACGAAAAAAAAAAACTCAATTAAGGCACATGATATTCATCACTGCGGGTTCACGGACACATGAAAACCATATATACAATTACTTGTTTCCAATATCAACACAATAGAAAACACTGTATTCTATTTTCCTCGGATATAGCTATCTAGCTACTAGTGTAAAAATAGTGAGGAAGTACTTGATACATTGTCACAAAGCATAAAAGTTTATTTATCATAATAAAAGAAGAAAACAATTAAGATCTATAACTTTCCACATTCGGTGGGAACAAAAGACACAGTTTCTTTCTCAAGATCATGAAGTACATTAAAGTTCTGCTGCTGAACATTTCCGAAAATAGACATCCCATTAGAACTTCCCATGGCCAAACACAAAGCGCCACTGCTCGAATCCGCCACCATGTAATTCTCTCCGGGAAGTTCTAAATCCGCACCTTTAAAATGAAAAATCAGCTTAGGAACTGCTATATTCTTTTCGACATCAGGTAACTTGAAGCACAAGTCAAGTCCTGTGGATCCTGAGTCATCGACTGGTAGACTCATCCGGGAAGTAAACTCATCCTTCAATGCCGAAAATGCAGACTCCTCGAGGTACGTGATGGTCGTGCCAGAGTCTATGATCATCCCTCCAGTTCCATCTTCGGCTAGTTCGAAACTTGACTTTTCAACAGAAAGGCGTTTTCCTCCAACGGTGATTCCTTGTAGCTCAAGGTAATAGAACGACGGCTGATTCGGATTTCGTAGCAAAGACATCGTTTTGGTTACTTCTCCATCTAAACTTACACCTGTTTTGTTGACGATATTCGAGGCTAAAGATCCGATAAACAACGAGCTAGATGCTTCACTATCCTCAATCGAGGTCAAGCAATAAGAAAACTTAGTCTCTTTGAGCTGAGAAATAAGCGAGAGAGGTCCCCGACCAAGACCTACCAGACCTGACCCTTGTGAGAACCCATCTCCTTCGTTCTCAACCCCACACCCAAACCCTATACCAGGTATTGAGTTCTGGTCCTCGAAAGTGAACGTTTCCGTGGCCAAGAGCCCTCTTGTGGATGAGTAATCTCCATAAGTATACAGATACTGACAAACATCTTTGTCTTGGTTGCAGTTTGATCGAAGCACTGCTTTGCAAAGACCAGAAGAGCACCCAACTTTGGAGTAAGAGGAAGATTTCTCCGGGTCAAAAATAGGAGTTGGTTGATCGAAACATTCAGTGCAAGGCTTGCATTGAGTCCATATAAGGTCACTTCCTGTATCAACAATAGCCGAGTATTTAACCGCCGGGCTTCCAATAGATAACTCCATAAGAAACTCACCGCTTCCTCCATGAGTAGGTGCTTTAATGTTATTAGTATCATCAGGATTAGAGGATACAGCTAAAACAGCTACAGCTCCTAATCTGTTTAACCTGTGGAATCCACGGTTAATCCCTCTTTGAATCTTTTGGATCTTGGTGAGGTTTTTACCAGAGTCCACATGTCGAAGACTTAATCGAAAACCGGATCTTGGAAGGTTCGTGGGAAGAGGACGGTCGATTAAAGATCTTCTTGATGATGAAACTGATATCAAACATGAGAAAAGAATAAGAAAGAAAGGAAATAATAAAGAAAATGAAGAAGAAGAAGCCATGGTGAGTGTGTGTGAGTGGATTGATGAAGAGATCAAGGGAGTGTGTTTATAAAGAGGTTTTAGGACACGAAAAGAGAGTTACAGAACAAAGTTAGGCGTGTAAGAAGATAGACACTGGATGTAACTTCCCTACTTAAAATGAGGAGAGGCTGTTTAAGAGATCCATTCAAACAAGCAAGCCCTGTTCTTTCGTCGGGTTAGTTGAGAAAACTTTTGCGTTTTTCTTTTCTCCTCATCTAATACTGTTGAAAAATGTTGAACAAGGGGTTTCTTATATGGGCCTGTTTTGATTAAGCCCATTAAACAAGGCACATTGTAAGTTTAGTCTGTTTAGTAACCCACTAATCAAAAACATGCCACATGAACTTTAAGTCTCAGACATGTTCTATTGTAAGTTTTTTTTTTTTTTTTTTTTAAAGAATGCAACACGAGGACTTCCCGGGAACTGCGGAATTCTGATGGGATCCGGTGCATTAGTGCTGGTATGATCGCATCCGTTCTATTGCAAGGTTAAGCAAATAAATATATTAGACAAGGAGTCAAACGCAATGGCTTGGTGCTTCTATCTTTAAAAAGGAAACATTACAAATGTTGATTATCTAAGTCTTGTCCAGGACCAAGTTTTAGCTGGCTTGTTTACACTCACTGTTCTTGTTTCAAGTTAGGAGTTGTCAACAAGTTTAAGTCCCCAGCTAATATCTTCACAATGTATAACATGCGGGACAACTTTACCGGTGTCAGTTCCTCGCTTTGCTTTGCAGTCGTAGTAAGGAGGGGCATGGAAACAAGGATCTGGTGACATAGCTCTACCACAAGGTGGATTTGGGTTTGTTTGATTCTCTTGTTTATAAAGAATCCAAGCTCTTAATCCTCCAAGTCCTTGAGCTACATACCCAAAAGTAGACCAAGCACTAATAACCAACTTATCAGTTAAGCTCAGTAAGTACATCTCTGCCCAGGCTTTTCTATTATGCATTAGCTTCTCTGTTTGTTGATGTCCTTCATGACTTGGCTGATGTATTCCAATCACATCTCTTGTTACAGTTGGATTTTCCCAATACATTGTTTTCAAGATCTCAAAGTACCCTGTTGTTAAAGAAGTGACCAAGACAGATTTGAGTTTCAAGTCTTCTTCTGATGGATGCTTATGTTGTTCTTCTCCTTTGCTTAGTTTAGGTAACAAATCCTCGTTTTGAACACACGAAATGATTTGTTTTGTGACTTGAGGAGATACGCCTGATTTCTCATCAAAGACTCTTATTTGAAGACCAATCCTCTCATCTGCTTTGGCTAAGTAAGCTTGATAGTATCTTGTGATTAGTCCCCAGACATGATTTGAAGGATGGAAAAGGTAACGACCTAAATGGTGAAATACCATTCCTTTCTCGGGAAACATCATACCGAGCTCTTCCTCGAAAGAAGGGATCAAGAAGAGAGACGGTGCAAAGAAGTTGTTTGTCCTCATGATCAACCAAGGAACATTCTTTATGAGATTCTGATCTTCTGCGCAGAAGAACATTTTGTCGTGGTCGTTGTAATCATGAGCTAGATGGAGATAAAGATGAGACAGAGACAATACCGAGGAACCGTTAATCAGTTTCTCCTTTAGCATGTTTCCATGGCAATGAGCTGAGTTTTGACCAAAGTCACTGAACTGACTAGTTAAGGTGAAATCTTTCGGTAATAACCAAGTGGTATCGAGGTACGGTTCGCAGAATAAATCCGCGAATTGCTCTCCTCCTTCAACGAGCAAGACTCTATCTGTCAACATTGCATAGAGAAAAGCAGAAGCAATACTAATAATCTGGTTTCCTAATCCGCTAAACGACATCCAAACAACATACTTGCATCCTTCTGAGTTCAAATCACCGGTTTGTTTCGGTTTTAGCAATCTTTCCGAGTTGATATATGGTCTGGTTCCTGGTCCACAGCGTTTATGAAGCCCTTCATAAGCTCGAAGCTTCGAAATTAGATGTAGAGAAGGTCTATACTGAGAAGCTTTACGGTAGAGGTAAGATTGGTATCTACTCAAGCAAGAATCTTTCATAAAACCAGGCACAAGCAGTCCTCCAAGCAGAGACAAATCTACAGAATCTGATGAAACATTCAGAGAAGATTACTAATATATTCCCAAAGCAAAAAAAGAAAGTAAGTTAGTGTATCATTATCTTACCCTTTTGTCCTTCATTTCTCTGCAATGTTGAATCTTCTAAAGATGTCACATTTGGTTCTGGTTCCATTCGTATGATTCTGGAGGCTTCTACAAAGCCATTTCCTTGATCATATCCAAACATGGCAACGATTACTAGCAAGACAGGTATAATAACCATGAAAAAAGCTAGGATCTCTGTGATTCTCATTGCTCCCAAGAATCTGCATTTCTTTTCTTGGATTCCATATTGTTCTTCCGGCTCTTTACCAATGATTTTGGAAAGAGGTAATCTTCTTCTGGAGGGATACATATCTATCTATTCAGAAACCCTAAGATCTAAACAAGAAATGGAAATAGAAATCAAATCTGATCTCTCCCTTTTACCTTCTTCATCTGTTACATGGAAAAAGAGTAAGAGAAGAAGCAAATATATCAGATTCACGTTTTACTGCAACAATACAAAAATAAACAGAGACTTTGGTAATAAAGACTCAACCTTTATGCTTTTGTTTTTATCTAATTTGAGAAAATGTCAAAAGCACAAAATTTTGACTTTATAAAAGCTAATTTAAGAAACAGAGTTACATGATACATAATAATCAACACTGAGTAGGGAATAAACAAAATCATACTAGCTTAAGTCCCCAGCTCATATCCTCACAATGTCTCACATGTGGAACTAGTTTTCCCGTATCGATACCCGTTTTAGCTTTACAGTCATAGAAAGGAGGCGCATGGAAACAAGGCTCCATTGACATAGCCCGACCACACGCAGGATCAGGAGCTGTACGGTTCTCGGGTTTATACAGTATCCAAGGCTTTAAACCTCCAAGACCTTGAGCAACATATCCAAATGTAGACCAAGCACTTGTCACAAGATTATCTGTCAAACTCAAAAGGTACATTTCTGCAAGAGCTTTTCCATTATGCATCTTTTTCTCTGTCTGCTGATAACCTTCTTGGCTTGGCTGGTGAACACCGATGATTTCTCCAGTCGATGTTGGATATTCCCAATACATACTCTTTAGATTCTCTGAGTATCCTGAGCTCAAAGATGTGACAAGTACAGCTTTGTGTTTGGGGTTTCTAACTTGCCGAGATCTTTCTACTAGTTTATCTACTTCAGGTAGAAGTTTCTCTTTTTGAGTACAAGATGAAATCTGATCCATCACGTGCTGAAACGGACCCGCGCCTACATCGAAAACTCTTACTTGAATCCCAATCTTCTCATCCGCATGAGATAAGTAAGCTTCATAGTACCTAGTGACTAAGCCCCATACTTGGTTTGTTGGGTGAAAAAGATATCTACCTAAGTGATGAAAGACAGTCGCTTTCTGCGGGAAGAGCTTGTTCAGTTCATCATCGAAACCTGGTATTAGCCATAGAGATGGAACAAAGTAATTGTCTGTTTTGACAATCAACCAAGGGACTTTCCCCATTAATTTTTGGTCTCCTTCACAGAAGAACATCTTATCATAATCTCCATAATCATGGATAAGATGAAGATAAAGGTAAGACAAAGTTTTCTCGGTATCAAGCGCCTGATTCTTCACCATATCTCCATAACAACGTGAGGATTTCTGATTCAATCCATCAAACTGATCCGTCATAGGGAAATCTAAAGGCAATAACCACGACATACCGGGAAACGGCTCACAAAAGAGATCATCCATGTCTTTCCCTCGGTCAACAAGCAAGACTCTATCCGTCAAAAGCGCATAGAGAAAAACCGAGGCTAGAGAAAGTATCCTGTTCCCTAAGCCGCTAAAAGAAACCCACACAACATATTTACATTCACCATTGCCATCAATATGCTCTTGATCAAGTTTCTTAAGAGCTTCCTTGTAAGATTCTGTACCCGGACCACATTTCTTGTGAAGCGTTTCATAGTTTCTAAGCTTAGAGACGAGATATGGAGAAGGTTTGTACGGCGAAGGTTTACGGTAAAGTGCTGCTTGGTACCTACTGAGGCAAGAACCTTCATCAAAACCAGAAGCTAGTAGTCCTCCAAGAAGCTTATCAAAATCGTTTGAATCTACAAAACAAAACAGAGTCAAAGCAGAATCTAAATGGGGGAAAGAAGCAAACTAACATTCTAAGCTAAAGACCAAACAAAAGAGCACTTTTTCACCTCATACCCAAAAAAGCAGTCTTGGGACCGACAAAGACTCAATTTTTTATGGCAGTTTCCATGAAAACTCCAACTAGCTTAAGAATTTAGAACAGAGAAATCTCTATAAAACATATCCTAGTTTGTCACCATTCACTGCAGATTCTCTAAACTGTGAATCACATTAAGCTTTAAAACGCAAAACCAAACAAATCTTGTTCAAATCAATTTAAGAGAATCATCTAAAAATAGAAACGGGTCTAAATTGAAATCAACAAAGAGCTACAGACATATAAAGGCAAATGCTTGGTGTTAAAACGAGATCTAATCGAATAAAGCTCAAAACTTTGACTTGGAAGTTGGAAGAACACATACCGATTTTAGTAACATTGGAGAAAGCTCCGCCGTCGAGAACTCTTGCTTCAGCGAAACCCATTATCCGATTTGAATCAGATGGGTGGTGGTTGAAGATCACAGAGAATGCTACTAGTACAGAGAAGAGTATCAAGCAAGTAGTGAAGGTTCTCGTGAGCTTCATCGTACCGGAGCTGAGATACTTCATTGGAAGTAGTTCGGAGAAGTTGACGGACTTTGAACCGCTGGTGGTGGTTCTGATCGGAGACGATCTTCTCCTATACGGATTTTGATCCATTGATTGATCTTGAGGGAGACACAGACAGTCACCGACTTCATTACTTTAATTCAGAACATGTCTCCACGACATTGTTTATTAAACTTTATTTGGAAATATAACATATTTCAATTGAACATCTTTACTTCTACATTATTACATTTTACACAATAAACTTTCAAATGTTATATTTTCGACCCTGGTGTACTAATGTAACATGTTAATAATTCGGAAATTAGTAAACCGCGGCTGTCAATATTTTATATCACATTAATTCATAGTTGAAGCTAAAAAAATAACAAATGTCAAAATCAATTTTTATTAATAAGATAATTAAAGAGGAAAATCTTACCATAAAAGTATACTTGTTTACCAAGAAATAGCACCACTTGTTTTGGCAAACTATTTCCTAAAAGGCTTCTAGACAGGGGTTTAAAGCTTTTACTTGTGTTCTTGAATCTTGACTAGCAAACCTATCTTCATCTTTCAGAATCTTACAAACAATGTCTACAGAATCTTACAAACAATGTCTACTAAGAATCCAAAACTGTAAGTTCTGATGATAATAATTTGAATGAAACTAACAAGGAGAAAGAGGAAGACTGTGATGAGTGTTGGCTTCGTCGGTTTTTGAAAAAAGGTGGGTGCAAGGATGAATTCATAGAAGTTGATCATTGTGAGGACAGCAAGAAATGTCGTGATGCTAGATTGAAGCTGAATACATGCATGTATGCTAACGTCAATTACTATGGACAGTATCTGGCAATGCAGAAAGCTATGTTTACTCAGTCGTTAAAGGATTTGGAAAAAGGGGAAGAGGCAGCGGCTGCTGCTGCAGCGAAGAATGAAGAAGAAGAAGAGACTAAGGGAAAGTGAGAGATTAGATCAAAATGTTTTCGATCTTAACATGTCAATTTAGTTCATTGCTTTGTTTTATGCCCATGAATGTTTTCTATAAGTGAAACTAATTTTATTTCTTTTGTGTAATTTGGTTAAACGAAGTTATGTGTTTGCGTTTAATAAATTTCACCAAATACTTTCGCATAAATGGAGATTAATCACTTAGTTGTAGGTGTCTTTCCTCTACACATGAACAACTTTTTATATTTAGATAACCCAAAATGAGAAATACTCAGTACATTGCTTAATGGAGTCTACCTACTCTTCTTCCACTGACAATTTTTAACTATTACTTCCATTAACCTGCCTCCTGCAAATCAGTGATGAGTGACCCTAATTACTATGGTTAATCTAGTGAGTGTGACATCTCTGATATCAATGAACCAGCTTTAGTCTAATCCAGTCCTCCCCTCGATGTGGATGAATCCGTCTTCACATAATCAACGACTAGAAACCGAAAAAAATCTAGTTGTCTTTGTCGTCATCCTCATCGTAGTTAAACGGTAAGGGAACTGTCTTGAATGCTCGATACTTCCCAACATTGTTCAAATGCTCGTTCTCTAACCTGTTTTTTCATAAACAAACCCCCAAGAAAGTTATACTACATGTTGTGTTACGGTATATAGAGTGGAAACATGGTGAAGAAAAACTGCAGAAACGTGTTTTCTCACCTGAAGAAATTCCATATACCACGTCGGATAATCTCTAGACTGGCAACAACAGCAACCATCGTTTGTCTGTGCATGAAGGAGAAATTGAAATCCAGAACAGTCTGCAGCCACGCGAATCTAAGCAAGATGTTCAAGATCTGCAAATGTTTGTGAAGTGTTATATACAGATTTGTTCTAGGATTCAAAAGGATGAGATTTTCTGTAGTTTGTGCTCACCATTGCGATAAAGTATACTTTCTTCTGAGGGACAAGGAGTTTATCCCGGAGCCACCGGTTTTTGGATGTTCGATTCAGAAGACCCCAGTCATACACTAAGTCCCAGTAAGTACAGAAAATGGCAGCAATAGCTGAAAAGATCCCAGCTAATATTCTCCATATAAATTGATGATCTTCGTCGACTACACTGTAAGTAGTCCTCAAGCAGACAGCCACTATAGTCAAGAAGTACTTGAGACCATTGTATCCTTGTTCTGGGTTTTTCTCTTCAAACAGTCGCCTCAAGCACTGCAAATATATAGGGGTTTTTAGCAAATATTACATGAATGGAGTTTTGAACAGTTGTATTTCGAATGAACAAAATTTGTACCTGAAGGAGACGACAGCCATATGGGATTACAGCAACAATGAATAAGAAAGCATTGTAGGCATCTGAATCTGAGCAAGTGTTCAGTCTATGTTTGTAATCTCCCCAACCGTAGTGACATATGTAAAATTGGATGCTTCGAAGAGCTTGCACCTGACTTGTTAACTGATCTCCCACTATGAAATCAGGTAAGGTTACCTGCAATTGAAGTTGAAAATTCAGACTTTTGTTTTGTGTTAATACATTTATCAATATTTCTTTTTCATGATCAATGAAAAACTGAGTTTCTGTTCTACCTTGTAAAGAGGAGCTGCAAGGCAATGGAAGAGGCAGGTGAGGAAGAAGAAGCGACTCGAGCGGTAGAAGATATTGAATGGTAAGATCAGAACTAAAAACATAACCTAGATCACAAAATTATTCTGTTATTATCATAATATAGCTGAGTTTCGCATTTAAAATCTGGTTTGTATTTATAGACTTACAATGAGCAGGAAAAGAGGAAGAAGTTCGGTTAATGCTTGGTAATCTTTGGTTTCCGGGTCAACCTCCATGTCAAGGTTGGCAAGAATACAAAGAAGCGCAAGGACTCCAATGCTTAATCCCACAAATAGAACTTGTCTATAACCAAGTTCAGTTCCGTGCTTGAACCCAAATATGAAAGAGTAATTCACTCGATACCGCCTCCAATAGTATATATTACCAGCATACATAAGTATGTGTAGAACGATGAACCCGAACAAACTATAAGACCAACAAAGAAGAATAGAAACAATAAGTGCCACCTCAAATTTCCGATATATATATATTCATGAATCATGATAACAGAAGAAACATTAGAGTTTACCTGTAAAGAGGGAACATAGTGTTCATGTACTGTTTCTGGCCTTCCTCCTGCAAAATGTTTCGGGTTCGTATGATCGCAAATAGAGCCACTACTAAAGAAAACAAGCATCCACCCAAGAAGCCTGAAACCCAGATTCCGCATCAGTACTTGACAAGCAAAATCTCAAGTAGAAATAAAACCAGAGAAAATGTAAAATGATATCCACCTGTGGAGAATGTAATTCGATGTCTTTCTCTTTTAGCTTTCGGTCTCAAGATATTCATTCCTTTTCTCCTGTTAGCATTCACGAAATGCTTTATAAACGTAGCTTCAACACGCTCCACGAGTCTCGTTACCTGTGACAAAAGAGAAGATCAATTTGAGTAAGATACATAGATAGTATCAACCAACTGAATCTAAAAAAGAACTTATGAAAGTTATACCTCATCAGAGCTACCAAGGTAAGAGTTATCAATCATTTGCATGTAAGACTTTGAAGCATGCCTTGAAGTTATCTGTTTTAAGAGTAATTTCGTCGAACACCTTTCAGTCATACTTCAAAAATCCCCAAAAATCAAAACTTCAACAAAGTCTCAAACCAAACCATACCTTATCATACTTCTTCAATATCTTCGAAAACGCTAACTCATTCATGAAGCTGCATCGAATCTCAAATCCATCAATCATAATACTCTAAGAACTGATCATCCAATTCAACAACATATACGAGTAACGTACCTGTAGCTTTTGAGTAGCCTAAGCTTCTGATAGAACTCAACGAAGGCGCGTCTAAGCTTCGCTTCGACTTTCCTCAGATTATCTCTGCTAAATTTAAGCTCCGTCAAATTCGAGACCTGGAGAACACTTTTAATGGTGGAACGTGGCGTCTCTTTCGTATGATTCATCTTGACACGATCCAAAACCTCGATCGGAGGTGGCTCTATCGGAGGTGGCCTCGCCGCTTTCAGCTTACTGATGTCATCAGCTACTACGACGGAAACGCCGTTATCTTCTTCTTCTTCTTTCTCTACATCATCATCATTTTCATCATCTTCTTCGTCAGATGATTTACCAGCTTTGCTTGATCCTCCTTCCTGTATCGCCTCCATGTGAGCTTGATGAGCTCCAACCTTCACTGCAAACCAAACCAGAATTTGAAAACAAAAAATCAAATTCAATTTTTGCTACTCGGTACAATTACGGTTTAATCAAATTTCCGGTCATTCAGTACAATTAACACCGGAATTAATAATCAAACCGGAGCGAGTGTAAAGAAAATCACTGCAAGTTACAGTTTCGGTTGGACAAAACCGGAGAAAGAAGAAACAAATCAATTTCAATATGTCAATTACGGTTCGATAAAACCGGAGAAAGGAACAGAGTAATTTCAATTTATAGTCACCGGCGAGTCAAAGAGAGTTAGGTTTTGTTTGTTACTTACTGGATCTAGCACCGGCGGGAGTAGAAGCAGCGACGGCGGCAGCAGAAGAAGCAACATCAGAAGCTAAACGAGTCATCTCAACCGTACGTTCTTCCCAAGGCCAACCATCAGGATGCTCAACTTTAACCCTGAAAGCGATCAAAGCATCCATCTGCTTCTCAAGCATAACAGCTTCTTTCATCACTTCTTCAACCTTATCTTTATAAAACCTCTCGACTTTGTTGAACTCATCATCTAATCTCCGGAAAAACACAGTCTCGTACTCTCCTCCTTCCTCCGACGCCATCAGAAACGTCGTCTCGTAACCGTGACTCGCCGAGTGAACAAGAATCGGCGCCTTAACCGGTTTAATCCCTTCCTCGATATCGTCGTCGGAATCTGATAAATGCCCGATCTGACCAGCACCACCACCGCCGTGATGGTGGTGTTTCTTTTTCTTGGGGGATGTAGAGAGTAAACCGCTGAATGCTCGGTGAAGTCCGTGATGATGATGATGATGATGGTGGTGGTGGTGGTGATGATGACCGTGAGGATTGGTTTTGCGTTTGAATTTGATGATTTCTTTAAGCTGAGATTTGAGGAATTCGTAATCCATGTAAGCTTCGTGCCATTCAGGCACCATCTGAGAAGAGAACTCTTTCCCGAACTTCATTTTCTCGACAAAATCTTTGTCTGAAATCTAATCTTTTGATAAGTTATTGTTTCTTTGTTTTTTATGTGTTTGTGTCTGAAGAAGAAAGAAAGAAGAGTGAAGAAGAAGACAGAGGAAAACTTGGGGATGTGTAAGTAGAAAATAGTGACTGGTCAGTCACATATATATAATTTTTTTTTTAAGATCTATGTAGAAAAATAATTATGATATATTTTATTATGGGGTTGAAAAATAAAATGAAATATAAAAAAAATAGGGTAGTTTTCAATCTTGGTTGATGGTTGAAAGACAATAAAGCAAATGTGATCAGATTGGACAACCAAAGCGCGTGTGGACTGCCCCACTACGACGGACCTTAATAGATGGATGGGAACGAATCAAACACGTACAGCACAGGCTAATAATGTTATTTAAAATATTAATTCTAATTTTTCAAAATATATATATAGAGAAATTCGAGTGAGTAGCCTTTTTATTTTTTATTTTTATTTTAGATTTTTTCTCTATTTTTTTCCTATTTAAAATATATACTAATCAGCCAGAATGATAACGAGAGAGAAGAAGAGTTTGGGTGCACTTTGTTTCGGGATGAGTCAGATGATAAAGTGGATGTGGCAATGAGATGTGTGCATCGAATGCGATTTTGGTAATAGTGTATCAACTTGATACGCTATCAAGTCTACGAAATCTTTTAAAAATCAGTAATTATAGTTTAGGATTTTTATGGTTATGGTTTATGATTAGATTTTGTGATTTATATGTAGAAAGAAATCATAAGATTAGATATTTGATAATTGATTATGAAGGAGGTTTTTGAAGTTTTTTCATAATTTTGTAAAAAGTCGTAAGAAATTCTGTGGAAGTTTCTAAACAATTATCAAAATTTCAAAAGAATGTAAAAAGTTTCCAAAAATAGTTTGGTGTATACGCATTTTGTAGCTGGAAACATTTGTTATACAGCTGCATGCAATTATGCAAACAGTCCAAGTTATGCTTGGAAAAAATCTTGAAAACTTGTCAAAGTATCCAACAATTTTGCAACTACAACTACAACTTTATAAATAAAATAAAAAGTTTCAGAAAACATGAGAAAGACAAATTCTTTCATCTATACTATCGATTATATATATCCATGTTTTAAATAAAAAAAAACCATCTACCTATTATAGTTTATTTGCGAGTAACAAAAAAAATGGTGATAATCACATATTTTAATAACGATTTATGTCAAATAACAATTCACATTGTATTAGTGTGGGTAAAATATATTCCAACTCGTAAATAATCTGTCTAACTTGTTACACTTAGAAAAAAGAAAGATGTACGTTCATTAAGAAAATGATAGTTCAACAAACGAAAATATATATAATCATGTTATCTTGCAAATCATCCCTTCAAAATATTGACTAAATCGTCTGCATTTGGTCCGACTATTTTGATTAATTCCTAAACCAATTAATTAATTATATCGTAACTACTTATAATCTGTCTTACCAGTACCATCTAAATCTAAATCATTATTAGTAGTTGATGTATAAATAATAATAAACGTACAGTGCCCACTTGACTTTTTCTCAAATTAAGAAAACTACTCGTATATCTCCCTGATTAGTTTAGTTTAATGCTTGTATTAGTTGTATAATAATATACTTTTCCTTGGTCAAATATACTGTACGAACGAAATATTTTCTTGAAGACCTCAACTTCGATCTAAACGGAAAGTTATCTTAAATTTCTTTAAATAGTAAAATCACTCTGGTCTTTGATTTACATATATTCTTATTATTATGTGACATCGAAGTCGCAAACTTGAGTCTAACTATTTGGACTTACAAAGTCATCAGTCAATATAACAAATGTTTCTTTTTTCTCGTTTACCATTGGAAGAATAATATGATTTTTAAAGTATTCCACAAAGATTACAAACCACTTCCTCAATTCCAAAAGATCTTTACGTTCGTTTTCTTTTTTTTGCGAAAGGAATATAATGTAGGATAATCGTAGAAGGTACTTAGCCACTGCTCGAGGATATAATGTATGAGCCATAAGTATAAATTCCAAACAAGTATGTTTACTTTCAAATTAACTAGAATTATTGAAATAGAAACGATTAATAAAACTTGTAACATATATAGTTTATAACTTGCCATTTTGATAGTGTAAATGAATTAATATATCTCAAAGTTTCAATCTATTTGAGGGTCAGCCAGAGAGTCAGTCACTCCGCGTCTTCCTCTACCCAATTTTGTTGCTTTCCTACTATCTCTTTTTGCATGTGTACGTTGGACGTATTCATGCATTTTGAATTATTGATTGAATGGAGTTCTCTTTTAAGCTTTTTAGTCCTTTAATTTCTCTTTACGTTTTTGTATGCATTCTTTATCTCACCAGTCATCCCACCACTAGTAAGGCCTCTTTTGTTTATGTTTTGGTGGACGTTTCCATCGTTAGCTTGCTTTTCGTTGCATTCCCAAAAAACGTTTTTAGTGTTAGCTAGGCTTCAATGGTTATGTGAGATACTGATTTTGGCTGTTTCTTAGAAAAAATTATCGGGAAAAATGTCATAATAATCCCAAACTTTCAAATTTGGGACGTTTAAATCCTCAACTCTGCGAAAGCCATTATAATCCCCAACTTTGTTATTGACTTTGTGTAAAATACCGAACTTTTGTTGACTGAGCCGTTTTAAGCATAGCGTTAAATCTCTGTTAGAAACGCTTTGACGGGGTTAACAATCCGTCTCCTGCTTCCGTTTAACGTAAACGCAGTCGTTTAAACACTAATTAAACTTTAAAAATCCCCAAATCGATTTCAAATTAGACCCTAACCCTAGAAAAAAAATCCCCAATTCTCTCGACTTGATTCTCGCCATGGCCAGGACCCGTGGAGGAAAGAAGCAAGTTCCGACTCGGCGATCGGAGCGACTGAAGATGGTTACGGCAGACGAAGAAGTCGACACAATCATACCTGAAGCTGAAGCAGAGGCGACTGAAACAGTTGAGACAGAGGGAAATCAAATCCCTGCGGTTGAGACTACTGAGGCGACAGAGGCTGAGACTATTGAGGTGAATCAAATCCAAGCGGTTGAGACTACTGAGGCGACAGAGGCTGAGACTATTGAGGTGAATCAAATCCAAGCGGTTATTGAGTCTAGTGAGGAGACTCAGGCGAATCGACTACCTTCAGAACCAGAGAGTGAGACGGTAACAAGAATTTCAGAACCAGAGACTGAGACGACGGTTCATCAGACCAAACGTAAACGAAAAAGGAAGAAGACAGCTGACGATATCGAGGAGGATCGTGAGCCTGTTAGTGGGGACGACTGTGAGGTTGTTGGTGATGACGACTGTGAGGAGGTTAGGTATGCAGACGAGGGTAATGTTGAAGCAGTTCTTGAAGACCATCAATGGAACATTGTACCTGTTCCAGAACTAATTAGCGAGCCATGTGCGGTAGAAGATAATTGCGAAGGTACAGAGGAATGTAGAGAGGAAGGTAGAGAGGAAGGTAGAGAGGAAGGTAGAGAGGAAGGTAGAGATGAATGTAGAGAGGAAGGTAGAGAGGAAGACAAAGACGAAGGAGATATAGGTGTAGCAGATGTTAATTGTGAAGATTTTGAAGCTGAATTTGGACCAGATGCAAGGGATGACAATGGAGCTGAGAGTGGAGATGATATCTGGGATGAAGAGAGGATTCCAGATCCTCTTTCACACAGTGACGATGAAGAAGATTATGAAGATGCAAGAGCAGGTGCTCCTCATGAAGCTGAAGATCCTGAAGAGTTACTGAGGTTGGGAAAAACTTTCAATGGCCCAGAAGAGTTTAAGATAGCTATCCTAAGGTATTCTCTGAAGACTAGATACGATGTTAAGTTGTATAGGTCACAAAGTTTGAAGGTTGGTGCTAAGTGCTCTGCCACTGATGTTAAATGCCCATGGAGATTCTACTGTTCGTATGAAAAGAAGAAACATAAGATGCAAATAAAGATATACGATGAGGAGCATGCATGTGTCCGGTCTGGATTCTCAAAGATGTTGAAGCGAGGGACAATTGCGTGGTTGTATAGAGAAAGGTTGAGAAAGGATCCAAAAATTACTAAACAACAGATGGTTGCAGAGATCAAGAGAGAGTACAACTTTGAAGTCACTGAAGATCAATGTTCGAAGGCAAAGACAAAGGTTCTGCGGGAAAGGAAAGTTACTCATGAAGAACACTTTGCTAGGATATGGGATTATCAAGCTGAGATCTTCCGATCTAATCCAGATACAGCATTTGAAATTGAGACCACTCCTGGTGCAACCATTGGCAGCCTTCAAAGGTTTTATCGGCTTTTTATTTGCTTTAAGTCACAGAGAGATAGTTGGAAGAACACATGTAGGCCCATCATAGGTATAGATGGTGCCTTTCTGAAATGGGATATAAAGGGTCATCTGCTAGCTGCTGTAGGGAGAGATGGTGACAATAGGATTGTTCCTATTGCATGGGCTATAGTTGAAATTGAGAATGATGATAACTGGGATTGGTTTCTTATGATGCTCTCTACCAAGTTAGATCTTCAAGATGGGAAAAACATAGCAATCATATCAGACAAACAATCGGTTAGTGAAAGCTTCATTTCTTTACTATCAATCAATATTTCAGTGTTTGTCTAAGTCAATTTCTTTGAATCATTTACAGGGCTTAGTGAAAGCAATTTACACCGTTATTCCAGAAGCTGAGCATAGACAATGTGCTAGGCACATCATGGACAATTGGAAGAGAAGTAGCCATGACATGGAGTTACAAAGACTATTTTGGAAGATTGCTAGGAGTTACACAGAAGGAGAATTTGCTGGTCATATGCAAGAATTGAAGAGTTACAATCCAAGTGCTTTTGATTCTCTACTGAAGACTAATCCCAGGACCTGGTCTAGAGCTTTTTTCAGGATTGGAAGCTGTTGCAATGACAACTTAAACAACCTCAGTGAGTCTTTTAATAAAACCATCCGCCAAGCCCGAAGGAAGCCTTTGCTAGATTTGTTGGAAGACATAAGAAGACAGTGTATGGTGCGTAATGAGAAGAGGTATGTAATTGCAAGTAAGTTGAAGACTAGATTCACAAAGAGAGCCCATGTTGAGATAGAGAAGATGATTGCTGGGTCACAGGGATGTGAAAGATGGATGGCAAGGCACAATAAACATGAGATACGCATTGGTGATGTTATTGTCTCTGTTGATATGAACAACAAAACGTGTGGTTGCAGAAAATGGCAGATGACTGGTATACCGTGTATTCATGCAGCATCTGTCATCATAGGAAAGAAGGAAAAGGTGGAAGACCATGTTGTTGAGTGGTACACAGCTAGAAACTGGCAGTTAACCTACTATGAGGGTATTGGGCCTGTTCAAGGCAAGCTGTTCTGGCCAAGAGTGAACAGATTAGGAGTGTTGCCACCTCCATGGAGAAGAGGTAACCCTCGGAGGCCAAATAATCATGCAAGGAGGAAGTCCTTGTTTGAAACTGCATCTAGCTCTAATAACACCACATTATCACGCATGAATCGAGTCATGACATGTTCAAATTGCAAGCAAGAAGGACACAACAAACAAGGATGCACAAATCAAAGAGTTGCAACTCCACCCAAAAGAGGAAGAGGAAGACCAAGAAAAGGACAGGTCAGATTTGCTCATCCATTGATACTTTAACATCATTTGAATGCTTATTGATATTTTGATTGAAATCAGGAGCCAAGGGTTATATTGTTTGGACAAGGAACACCATTGGAAAGAGAACCTCAAGCGTCTCATGAAGCACCTCCAGCACCTCAGGGAGCACCTCAAGCGCCTCATGAAGCACCTCCAGCATCTCAGGAAGCACCTCCAGCATCTCAGGATGCTTCTTCTTCTCAAGCATCTCAAGAACCACCTTCTCAAGCATCTCAAGTTGGACCTCAAGCATCACAAAGAGGAAGATCTCATCTACCAGCCTCACAAAGAGGAAGGTCTCATCTACCAGCCTCACAAAGAGGAAGATCTCATCTACCAGCCTCACAAAGAGGAAGATCTCATTTACCAGCCTCACAAAGAGGCCGATCTCATCTACCAGGATCTCAGGGAGGAGGTGTACTAAGAGGAGGATGGGCACCATGGTTTGAATGTTCGCGCTAATCAATTTGTTTAAGTTTCTAGCTTGTTCACTTTGTTTCAGAACATGTTTTGGTTTGCTCGGATTAGTTTCAGAACATGTTTTGTGTTTGTAGCTTCTTCACTTTGCTTCAGAACAAGTTTCAGAACATGTTTTGGTTTACTCGGATTAGTTTGCTCGCATTTTGTTTCAGAACTTGTATTGTGTTTGTTTTGTTAAAGTTTGTATTAAGACATCAATCAGGTTTTATGAAGACATGTTCCAAACAAGTGATGTCCATTCATTATGAGTTCCAAAAGGTTTACATCACAAACATACAACTGATTTCCTTAATAACCTAACATAAGTTTTTTCTGATTTCCTTTCCTAAACAAAACATAACCCAGCACAATGGTGATAAGACTAAGCCACAGAAAACAGACTTTGAAGCACAATTTACACTTGTGGACTTCTTTTTTGTTGATCATTTCTTCTTCCTTCACTTCTTTCATCACAGCCTTTAACTCATTGACTTCTGCTTTTATTTTGCTAATCTCATTTGCAATGATGGCTACTCTTGGTAGAGCATCTTCTACTTCTTCAAACACAGCATCTTCCACCCACTTAAACAAATGATTCTAATGAACAAAAAAAATCAGAAATAATTAGCTAGCTTACACTGATTTTTCTACATAAACAACAAGTTTGCATATACTCACATCTCTTTTGCTTGTCCACGAATTCACATCCCGTTTGCTATCACAACGAAAGAAAGGTCGTCCTGGATTGTCTTGAGTTTTTGATGTAAAGATCGTGACACCTAAACCACAAACACACTTGCGAGGCACACCACGCTCACTAACGCCACTCGTTGTGACAGAGCTCGAACTTGAACTCATCGGAACAGAGAGATTGCAGAAGAATTTGCAGAAGAAATTTTAGGGAAGATTGTAACCTAGAAATCGATTTGGGGGTTTTTTAAGTTTCATTAGTGTTTAAACGACGTCGTTTTGTACAGTTTTAAACGACTGCGTTTACGTTAAACGGAAGCAGGAGACGGATTGTTAACCCCGTCAAAGCGTTTCTAACAGAGATTTAACGCTATGCTTAAAACGGCTCAGTCAACAAAAGTTCGGTATTTTACACAAAGTCAATAACAAAGTTGGGGATTATAATGGCTTTCGCAGAGTTGAGGATTTAAACGTCCCAAATTTGAAAGTTTGGGATTATTATGACATTTTTCCCAAAAATTATCGAGGCTAGATAGGAAGACTCTCGTGAGCCGTGTGGAGCCATGACGCAGGTCCGGTTTTTATGTGACCGACTATCATATTTTAGTATTGAATTTCCTGGCAAATCCCAAAAATCTTACCCAAAGCAAATTATTTTCTTAGTATATTTATAAATACGGGGAATTTCAAAAATACCCTTTTTCCAATACCACTTTTTAAAAATATCACTCTTTCTAATTTTATCAAAAAGTTACAACAAAATTTGAAATTTATCAAAAACATATGTATAAAATTTATATTTATAGACAAAAATTATCTTTACATGTGTGTAAATTTATATATATATTTCATAAGTACCGTATAAATACCTTTTAAAAATCATATAAAAAGCTTATAAAAACTGTGTAAACCTTTTAAAAACCTTATAAAAACCATATAAATGCCGTTTAGAACCTTTTAAAACCTTATAAATATTTGGATTTAGTCTCCTAGTAGTAATGATGATCTTGATGTACCTTATCAACCATATAAAATTTTATAATTTTTCATATTTGAAAAAGGGTATTTTTGAAAATAAATAGAAAAGAGAAGTATTTTTAAAAATGATTACACCAAAATGGGTATTTCTCAAAAATTCTCTTATAAATATCAGTACAAAATTGTATATTTTAGGGTAACTTTCTTAAATAGGTAAAAAACAATAAGAAAATTATCAAAATAAGCCAAATCTTATTAAATCAAATAACTAGTTTTTTTTATGAATGTAGTGTCGATTTATAAGTGTCGTTGACGATGACACGACTACTAATAAAAGTGAAAGTTTTCGGATCATATTGGTTGCATCACAATTAAATGCTAAAATAAAGATCACATTAATGATTTACTCTTATAACGATTCTCGATTTCTCATCGGTCACTTGTTGACAAGTCTAGTTCTCAAGCTTCTTCTTTTAAGATTCAAAGCCAATACATGGCCATCAACTTTGATTTGGAACGAGTCATGACATGAAACCTTATATTTATTTTATTCGATAATAAGAAAGTCCCGGACCTTGACTCTTTCAGAATCGGAACTATTAATGGTTACGTTTAGCATGTAACCATTAAAAAAATATATACCAAGTTTGAAAGGAATTTATATCGAATATGTTTATTCATAAATTTATACATATGTCAGCCTTCACTGTATAAAAAGGATCTAACGATAACTATTTAAAATCTATAACATGTCGTTCGTGTCCCATATAGTTTATTGATTACCACATTCTATGTCCAATACTATAATTTAACAACCCGTTTTGACGCAAGGACTAAAAAGGTGGAATCTCTCTATAACTTTTTACCATGTTAAAGATATTTTTCGTACCCTTTGCTACTTGTTAGGTAGCTTGAGCGTAGTGAATCTCAAGTCCACACGTCTCCTTTTTTCATCTTTCCAAGTGATAATACATTATAAAGAAGAAAAAAAGCTTTTCAGGAAAGAAAAAGTTTTTAGTGTATGGTGTTGGTGTACATTGTCCAAAAGAAGAAGGAAAAAGATATTAAAAACTATTAACACGAGTACGTACAAATTGTTATAACAATGGTCGCATTTTGTTGACTAGTTTGTGAGACTTGTCAGTAGTATTGTAGATTTGATCGTAAATTGACTAATGTCCTTTTCGTCTAGATACACATATGAATGGGTAGTAATATCATTATCAGCTACTGCAGCAAATTAGATCACCACCTAATGGCAAGCAAGGATGGCTACGAACATTTACTGGTCCACTTCGTAGTTGAATGGTAATGAAACTGTCTTGAAAGCTCTATACTTACCGACATTGTTTAAATGTTCGTTCTCTAACCTGTTTTTACGAACATGAACCAAACCAAGTTTCGTTTTATTAAAACGCGACTGAAAAGTCTTTGAAATATATATAATAAAATTAAGTAAAAAGAGTACTAACCTGAAGAAGTTCCATATTCCACGACGAATGATCTCCAGACTTGCCACGACACCGACCACAGTTTGTGTGTGCATGGACTCGAATTTGAAATCTAACACCGTTTGCATCCACGCAAATCTCAGCACCACGTTTAAGATCTGCATTTGGTTTAAAAATCAGTTGCATGTTTCTCTTGAAACATTATAAGAACTCTCTAGCTCATGATATAATGATCAAAACAAATGTCATGTAGTCTGGGTTTTTTTTTTTTTTTTTTCTTTTGAAACAATTTAGTCTGAAACAAATGTCATGTAGTCTGGTTACGTTGTCTAAATTTGATATGTTTCCATTCCCATTGGATATTTTATTTTTTACCAATACATATGCATGCGGATTATGTCATTCGAGTTATATACTTATTTCGAAATGGATAGCCATTAAAAAGTAAGAACTCACTCTAGGGAATTTGTGGGCTACTGTATATGCTAAGGGTGCAATTTTCCTATGTATTTATTAGGTTAGCCGCAGTTAATTTAGGCTTAAATCTAAATGTCAAAGTCATTGTCATCATATCAGATTAAGGAATGGGCTCAATACCAACAGTACCAAGCCGGGTACTCCATCACACAATCTTAATAATAATGTTCTAAGACTCACCATTGCGATAAAGTACACCTCCTTGTGTGGGATGAGAAGATTATCGCGTAGCCATGGATTCTTGGATGTTCGATTAAGAAGTCCCCAATCGTAAACCAAGTCCCAGTATGTACAGAAAACCACAGCCATAGCTGAGGTGATACCACCTAACAATCTCCAAATAATTTGACGGTCTTTTTCACCATCCACTTCATAAGCCATACCTAAGCAAACAGCTACTACTATCAAAATGTACTTGAAACCATTATATCCTTGTTCTATGCTTTTCTCTTCAAACATCCGCCTCATACACTACACAACTATAAAAATGTCAAAAAATGTTTTATTGAACAAGAACATTGAATTAGTAGAGAACAATTTTGTGTACCTGAAGGAAGCGAGAAAAAAATGGGAAAGCCACAACAATGAATAGGAAAGTGTTGAAGACTTGAGAGTCTCCACATGTGTTTTTTCTTTGTTTGAAATCTCCCCAACCATAGTAACATATGTAGAACTCTATGCTTCGAAGAGTTTGCGCTTGGCTGCATAGTTGATCTGCCAAGAAGAAATCGGGTAATGTCACCTGCATGAAGACACAAATAGTAATATATTTGTTAAGAGATTTAATTTGTATTGATGATTATGTTAAGTTTTAATGTTTTACCTTGTAAAGAGGGGCAACAAGGATGTGAAAGAAGCTTTTGAGGAGGAAGAAGCGACTCGATCGGTAGAAGATGTTGAATGGTAAGACTAGAACTACGAACATAGCCTAATTTACATCACACAGTTATGTTCCCATGGGTTATTGCTATATAAGTAGTTTGAATTCAAAAGCAGATTTTGTAATTTTGACTTACAATGAGGAGGAAAAGAGGAAGAAGTTCGGTTAATGCTTGGTAATCTTTGGTTTTGGGGTCTGTTTCCATATCAAGATTGGCAAGAACACAAAGAAGAGCAAGCGCACCAATGCTGAATCCCACAAAGAGAACTTGCTTGTAGCCAAGTTCAGTTTCTTGTTTGAAACCAAGTATGAAGGAATAATTTACTCGATAACGCCTCCAAAAATAAATATCAGTAGCATACATAGTCATGTGTAACACAATGATTCCGAACAAGCTGCAATAACAAGTTTAAAAGAAAACTTATTAAGAACAGAAGCCAAGTAAAGTGTCAATACGTGATAAAAACGGAAAAAGAGAACTTTTCAATGGTGTTTAGATTTTATTTTACTGTTAATAAATATGTTTTGCTTAACATATTTGAAGCGCTTCATTAAGGAAGAACATGTACGAAGTGTAAACGCAAGCAAATGATTGATGCATAAGAGTTACCTATAAAGAGGGAACATTGTATTCATGTATTGTTTTTGGCCATCATTTAGTAAAATGTTTCGGGTGCGTATGATAGCAACAAGAGCCACTATGAGAGAAAACATGCATCCACCCACGAAACATGAAACATTCATTTCTCATAAGAACATGTATGAAATTGAGAAGCAAGCGACATGAAAGAGAGAAAAGTACCTAAGAGAGTAAGAAGTATTATACCTGTGGAAAATGTAAGTCGATGTCTCTCTCTTTTAGGTTTTGGTCGCAAGATGTTCATTCCTTTTGTTCTGTTACCATTCGTGAAATGCTTTATGAACGTAGCTTCAACATTCTCCATTAGTCTCATAACCTATGACAAAGGAGGAGCAATAGAAGATCAATACTAGGATAAACAGAGAAGCTAGAATTAAACAACTAGTAATAATTTGGAGTTGACTCAACAACTATCACGTTCAATGGATCTTTCTACTGAATTTGAGAAGATAAAATGTTTTCATCAAGTGTTCTTTTATATTTATTTTATAAACTTACTTAATTAACTACAAATTTAAAACTAAGCTTACCTCATCAGAGCTTCCAAGGAAAGATTTATCAACCATTTTCATGTAAGATTTAGCCGCATCCCTTAAAGTTATCTGTATAGAACACATTTTCTCTTAATTATGAAAACAGACCCCATACAAAAAAACATTAAATCAAAATAAGGACTTCTCTAACCTTATCATACTTCGTCAATACCTTCGAAAGCGCCAACACATTCAAGAAGCTGAGTATATTTTTTTGATAACTCAAATCTCAAATCCAAAATAAATACCTATATAATCTCAAATCAAAAATAAAAAAGATAGGCACCTATAGCTCTTGAGATACCAAAGCTTCCGATGGAACTCGATAAAGGCGCATATGAGTTTCTCCTCAATTTTCCTTAGATTATCTCTGTTAAATTTGAGCTCCGTTTGGTTTAAGACCTTGAGAACGCCTTTAGTAGTGGACCGAGGCGTTTCTTTGGTGTTGTTGATCTTAATGTTATTTAAAACCTCGATGGAAGCCGGCCTTGAAGCTTTCATCTTGTTAAAGTTGTGGACCGGTGTGAGGAATATATTGTTATCTTCTTTTTCGTCAGTATTATTATTGTCATCATCATCAGATCGACCAGCTCTACTGGAACCTCCTTCCTCTATGGCCTCCATGTGAATTTTCACTAAAGGTCAAATTTCAAATTTGGTTAGTTTGGTATTATTACTGTTCATTTGAATATAACTCTAATTAAACTAGAAAGTGAAGTGTTTCCTTTTTTTGCCATGGAACCAATCTATAGGTTTTACTTCATTGTAATTCCTAACTATTTTCATTATTAATGAAATATTTACATTCTTAGCAACAAAAAAAAATAAAAAAACTAAGTAAAGTGATCACTATACTTTGAAAGTTTGATCAGTTTTTGGTAGAGGTAGATAAACTTGAACTTGTAAAAAATGAAATTATAGTAACAGATTCATTTTCATTGATATTAGATGGGAATAAGAATTTGAGTGTCAAATAATTAAATGTCTCAAAAAATTGAATATATGAAATATATATAAGGACCTGCATGTTTTAGATTAACATTAATATTTGATATTTGGCTTACTAGATGTGTTTTTGGCAAGCTCCGCCGGAGAAACCGCGACATACGAGGCCAAGCGAGCCATCTCCACCGTACGCTCCTCTTCCATCTTACACCGAAACGCAACTAAAGTATCCATCTGTTTGTTAAGCGCCGCCGCTTCTTCCACCACCTCCTCCACTCTCTCTCTATAGAATTTCTCAACTTTGTTGAATTCGTCGTCTAGCCGCCGGAAAAACACCAACTCATACTCTCCTCCTTTCTCCGCCGTCATCAAAAACGTTGTCTCATACCGTTGACTCGCCGTAGAACTCACCTGAATAGGCGCCGTCGTTATTCCATCGCCAATCTCGACCACTGTTGAAGAAGGGCTCATCTGACGGTGAGGATTGGTTTTGCGTTTGAAACGGTTGATGTCTTTGACAAGGGTTTTGAGATACTTGTAGTCTACGTAAGCTTGTTGCCACTCTGATAGCATCTGTGATGAAAATTCTTTTTCGAATTTCATTTTTGTTCCTCTGTTTTTTTCGAAAACTAAAGAGTTTTTTGTGAACATTGATCATCATTCATCAGTGAGAATGTGATGTATATTTATAGAATGAATGTGATGTATATTTTTACGTACATCTATACTATTAAAGCTGAAGTACACAATGAATTTACACTATAGTTTCAAAATGAAATAATTATCATTTCTAACTGGGTTAACACGCGGATCTAACTAACTAAACAGATATGTTAATCGGGTTTAAATATTTAATCTCCATCGTTCATTTTTCAGTTGATAAAAAAAAAATTGGTTTTCAATATTAAAGGAAAGATAATTATTACGTTTGATATTTAACTTTTTTTGTAAGATACAATGCCTAAAATTTAGCTTAATTGGCAAGATTTTCTTAATTTCAAATATTTTATAAAGATCTTGATCGAAATTTTAAACATTGAGTATTTTAATATTTGTTTTAATAGAAACCATTCCATGTTTTCTTAGTATGGAATATTCAATATAGTTGACTTTTTAAACTATTTTAATTTTTAACTTGACCAACTAAATCAATCTATATTAACATTTTTTAAATACATTTGATAATATAACTTTTTATTTGTAAGATTTTTATAAATAAACTTTTGTCATTTCATTATATATTAAAAATTGAAGAATTATTTATTAAGTAATCATTATCATATTCGATTTTCTTTGAATATATATTTCCTTAATCATTTAAAATCCATAATATGTATATATTTCCTTAATCATTTAAATCTAAATCGTTTATATCAAAATCATTAATTTATGGTAGGCAAAATCAACGGATTATATCTTAATTTATAACAATTTACTAATTTATGGTAATTAAATTCGCCTATTAAATATAAACATGATTTGTTATTCTAAGTCTTCTAAAAATGGAATATTCGGATATAATATTTAATATTTAACAATAAAATCACGATAATTTAGTGATTGAGATTGAATAAAGTTATTTCTTTTCAAAACTAAATCTCAAACCAAATATTCTAAAATATTAACTACCCCATTTTTACAGCCTATATAAACCATTACATGTTTTCTTATTTTACATTCATTTCAAAAGCGAGACAAAATATATATATCTCACAAAACAAAGCATGAACTAATACAAATTTTCTCACCACATGCTTTCATATCGTTTTTAATCAATGTTTACACATAATATTTTACTTTTTGTGTTTAATTTTTTTAAAACAACTAATTGTAATCTACTTTTTTGATGTAGTAGCTTGAGATTTTGAGGTCTTTGGGAAAACTACGAAGATCAACAACATCCTCCCCAATAAACCCAAAAAACGTGCTATGCATTCGAAGGTTATTTAGTCCTACTTCTTATCA